CCTCCAGCTAGGAAATGTTTCGTGGCAGTGTGCACATTGTGGCAGACCCCTGGTGGCAAACGCTGCAACATCAACTAAGGTTGTTCGAAAAACCATCCTACCATGAACATGTGTCAGATGCCGTCGTAGATTGGGTAGGGAGTCAAAGATACATGGGCAATGTGGGCATACATGCATCTGAAGTCGCACCTCGTTTGCAGGAGTGTGCAGGTGAACCTGAAATTGTTCATTATAGGCAGAATGCAGCAGTTGCAAGAGGGCTGACAGGTGAGTCCAATCTGCTGTCCACAATATGTCGTCTGCTTGCAGCAGATTGAGTCGTTGACCAATCGTGGGTTTCAGCTGTGTCCCGGCATGCAGCAACAAAAGGAGCGGGTGTTCAAGTTGATACTGTTGAAGTATATGAACATGTGAATGCCCTGTTAAAAAGCTGTAGTCACCAACCATCACCCTGTACATCTTGAAAATACACTGTTGCAAAAGAAGTGCATCCCTGAGGGTGAATCCAACAGAAAAGATTCCGTAGGTGAGCGTTGACAGAACACAGGCACGCCACATGTGCAATCTGTACTTCAGGCCAATACGTTTGCATCTGAGCCATCTGCGCAGTCTGGAGAAAGTGATGTTGGCTGCATGGATGCGATGTTGAACCGTATGTTTCTCAAAAAGCCTGTACCCAATGTGAACTCCAAGATATTTGGTGTGACTGCAAAGTGGCAATCGTGAAACTCTTCCGCCGGCCCTAGGAATGAGGAGATGTGGTCCCTGTGAGTCAACCTGGATGATCTTGCGTGAAATGTCCCTGCAGTTGGTGCCCCCTATGGAAATCATGGCGTGAGACTTGTCCAGAGCAAGAGTGAGTCCCATGTCTTCAATCACATCTAACAGAATACCGATGCGTTTCAAAGCAAGTTGTAGCTCGGTTTCATTCAGGAAACAATCGCAGGAATGCAAATCATCAGCAAACATCGTCAGCTGCTTTTTAACCCACTCAGGTCCAAGTTGGCGGGAAAGTCTGATGAAGAGGGCAAGTGTGTAGCTGGACCATAAAACAGGGGCAGCACGGCATCCCTGTCTTACCCCTCTTCCTGTTCCCACCGCAGTGGAGGTGGCGCCCTGTGTAACGATGTAACTTGTATTGGAGTGCCACATCGCCAGTATGGCTACCAAGTCCTGGTTGATGTCAAGAGAGCCCAAAAAATCAAATAGGGGTTGACGGGGAACCATATCAAAAGCCTTTGAGGCATCAAGGCAAACTTGTACTCCCCCACAAATGGGCCTGCATTGATAGTCAGCCGCGCGTTGGTGAACACTTCGTCGCTGGTTCATTGTCAGACGGCGAACTTGCTCACAATGCAAAATGACCCGTCGGATGGCATCGTAAGTGGATCTTTGTGGAAGAAATGCCAGTTGGGGCCAACTACAAATTAGAGGTTTAACCTCTGTCGCAAACAAGGTGGTGAGAAGTCCTAAAATGCTTTTCCCCACAGGTTCCAACAAGGCCAAGGGTCTCAAGTGGCCCAGACGGTCGGGCTGCTTGCCAGGCTTATGGATGAACGTGAGGTGTGCAGTCTTCCATTGCGATGGAATGAAAATGGGCAGTGACCCCCACCATTCCTCTAGTTTGGGGTAAATGTAGTTGGCGACTGCATGTGCAGCTGTTTTCCAGCAAATTCCTGGAAGGCATGTACGGGCAACTGCTTTGGTGACCGGTGTCTGAGCCAGCTCTCTGATCAATGCATCTTTGGTGAACGGTACTCCAGGGGGTCTTGTGATGGAAATGTCAATAGTAGTGGCAGGCAGCCACAGCTCTTTGATGTAGGCACTGGTCAGGTCCAGGACCTCCATGGGAGAGGCTGGTGTGCCATTTGGCAGTCTGATTCTGATGCGCTTGCGCGGCTGTTTTGGGGTGTATTTCATCACAGCCTGATAAACAGCAAAGCTATCATTCCGGGTTGCCGCATGTGAGACTTCATCCATGAGATCTTGCATCTTCTGTTTACGGATGTGTTCGCTGTGAATGTGCAATTCCCATTTCATCTTGCGAAACTGGCCAAAGTGCCACCAGGCATGGAAAATGGCTTTGATCGACGTCTCACAATGTTGTCTCATCATGGCTCGATGATTCCATTTGGCACGGATGAGCTGTTGCTGTTTGGATTGGGATTCAGTTGCTGTTGACGACATCTGTGGTCGAAAAAATTGGTGAAACGTTGGCATCAGATGTTGATGCATCTCATCAATTAGTGTTTCCCGGTCTGGCTGTTGCAGGGTGAAAGCAGTGAAATTCTGGTGAAATGCTTCGTGAAACTCCTGCCAAGTGTGGGTGTTGGAAACCCAGGCTTGTCGACTCTTAAGTCGTTGTTGAAAAGTGCAAGTGCCCTGCTGTGCAGTCTTCGTGTAAACGTGTGGAACCTTACGAATGGAGCACAGCATAGGGATATGGTGCGCACCTGTGAGTGGCAAAAATCCCGCCTGTGGAAAAAATTTCACATCAAGTGCATGTTGATCCACATCAGCATGTCGCATCAAGAAGTGGTCAATTCTGGAGTCATGAAGTCCATTGACAAACGTCGGAGGATGCTTGGCATTCCAACTGTTGACAGCATTCAAATGATATTTCCGTAAGATCTCAATGAAACAGTGCATGTCCTTGTGTCTGGGGCCATGACAGAGCCTGTGATCCCGCGTGTAGCACGTAGTGCCAACAAAGGGATGAGTCTGCTGTAAACTGCAATTGAAATCTCCGGCAATGAGTAAAGAGTTTCGATTAGGTATCATGGAAATGGTCTGATCCAAAAGTCCCCAAAAATCTTTACGCAGTTGTTGGCGATGAGTGCTGTGATCATCAGAATGCTGGTAGCAGCCCAAAATGTCTACCGATCTTCTAGCTTGATGAATTCGAAGATGTCCAATGCGTCCAGGCATGGCACTGGCAAATCCAATGGCATCAGGTGGACAAACCGAGGTTTGGATGAGAAATAGTAGTCCGTTAGCACGGTCATCAGCTGTTCCAGTATGGACGTGGTGCCAATGTTGATCTGACCACTCAGCTTCAAATGACCACCGTGTTTCCTGAACCACCAAAACATCAATCTCGGCCGCAAGAGCCCAGTGTTTCACTTCTTGTAGGCGTTGTTGGGATAAGCCACCAACGTTGACCTGGCCAACTTGCAATCGATGCCTTGGTGCAAAATGCTTGTTGTACCTGACAGGGTGCATCTTTGGTCTGCGGTCAGGCTTTGGCGGATGCACTGATGGAAATTGATCAGCGGTGAAACATTTGCCACGGTACCAGGCGCAGCCAGTCAGCTGAGCTCTTCGAATGGCCCTACGGAGGCTTCTTTTCTGTACATGGGAAAAAGCTGCGGCATGCATGTGACAGTCTCGATGGCCGTAGCCGCTTCGCAGTGTCTGGTCATGGCTGTTTGCTGGAAAAAGGTTGGTCCAGGCAGTGATATCATCTTCAGCTTCAGCACCGGTCCATGACATACCGGAGCAACCCTCACCCCCAGCCTGCATATTGAGAAACACCAGGGTGCCAAAAAACAGGAATCTGAAATAGCGCTTTGGAGTCCAGTCAAGGTTTCTTTGTGCAGGCTGCCCGGACTTGGGACCGGGTTTGCAGTGCAGGGGATATGGCCAGGTTTGGCAGCAGCAAGTTATGATCTTGCAGATTAGGGTCACAGGGGAAATAGGGATTAATTGAGCCAGTGATAAAAACTTATGTATGAGAATGAAAATTATCAAATGTGCAAATAGAGGCCACGATGGATTATGGGTAAGGGGTTCGGCATGCAGTTGATTATCAACAGGCCAGGACAGGAATGGCTGTGAATATATTGTGATTTTTCTGGCGGCGGCCAGTGACGCTGGTGGGTTGCAAAACTGGGTGGACCAATCCACTTGTGCAGAAGCACAGTGCACTGTATACGCCAGGGCAGTAAGTCCCCACCGGTGCAGGCAATCAACCGTCGCTGTTGGGATGGCACCTGAAAGTGTTGTCCACCTGTGCAGGAGCTTCCATGCAAACAGTTGTCCCAATAGCCAAACTGTCCAGAAATCCAGAATCCACCAGTGATCTATGTCAGTCAATGTCCAGGGAGTAACAAGGGCAATGCACTTCCACAGGCCAGCCACAAAGCGCCAGGGGCCTACCCTGCAGTGTGTGGAGAGTGCAAGCGCCGTGTTCAAAACGAGCACTGTTGTAAAAAGGGCCAGCAAGGAACGGGGAGCCCACCCCCGATCTGTATCAAATGAAACCCAGGGACAAGCAGAGTGGGTGCCCAACCCAAATATTCTGAAAAGCTGCTGTCTGTTGTTGTAAAGGCCGTCAAACGATGTCACACCTGTCACAAAAATCTGGATTGTAGATGTACCTGTCAAGATGTAGAGGGCCAGCCAACAAAAGGGAGCCCACCCCTGGTTGAAATCAAGCAATCTGTGGCAATGTTGGGAAAAAGTGGCGCCCCACCTGTATCCAAATTTGATGCTTTGTCCAATGTTGTGGAAACGCAGAAAATCGTGTTGATCACTCCCAAGGCCAGTAAAATGTACACAGGAGCCTACCCTGCAGTGTTGGGAGAAATCAAATGATGAATGAATTGCACAAAATGGTGTGAGAAGAACCTGGCAAAATCCAAAAATCCGCCGCAATGTCAGAGAGTGCCAATCGTCAGGCTGCAAGGGAGCCCACCCCACTGAAAGGGCCAGTAAAATAAAAACCCAAAGCCAAATGAGCCTGAGACTCCAGAGAGACCTGACCCCGACTCTGATCGTCGTTGTGGCAAGATGGATTGAAGGGACTGAAACAGTCCAAATGAGGCAAGCTGAGAAAACGCAATGAACGATGGCTGCACAGCAACGAAATCAAATGGCCCAAAAAGGAAGCAAATCGGAATTCCCGCGGCCCAGTGACTACAAGTTTCCCAATGGAAACGCTTGCGTGCAGTACTCGCGACTGCAAAGGGGCTTGTGTGAGTGTGTGTTTTTTCCTACACGCCTTTTCTGCTATGCTCCAAAGGTCTGTGCCAGCCATCAACGATATTGTGTCGTTGGTTCCGTCAGTGCGGAAACTTTCGGCCTTGAAACTGCAAAAGGAAAAATGAAAACCCGGGTCAGGTGGTCGGAAAAAGTTTGGACCTTGGTCGCCTTTCATGTTGATTTAGCCAGGCAAAGTCGCTCCATGTTGAGCTTGCAGCAAATGAATGAAAGCCTGATCTGAATGGTCATCAGGGGCTGCTTCAAGAATGGTGCCATCGCTTTGCACGTTGTACGACGGCAACTTCAAGCAGTCTGTGCGGATCATCCATACGACGGTCAAATTGCTTGCAAACCAGGAAGGAAATTGCCAGAGAGGAGTTGGATATTGGTCATCTTCGGTCATGAGCCAAGCAGCTGGGTTGCCAGGCGGCACTACTGTGGGTTGAATCTTAAGCAACGCCTTGCAATGTCCAGCTTGATCCTGTCCAAAATGTGCAATGCATGCCACTGGAATGTATCCTGCAGTATTACAAGCAATGCCTGAGGGTCGGAAAACCGGCATCATGATTTCTGTGTCAATGTCCAAACGGCACATGCTTTTAACAGCCTGATTGTCAGCGTCTTGGTACATTCTGTCAATATGAAGGCAGAGACATACCGGCGCATCCAGGAGGGCTGTCTGCATCGCAAGCTCCTGAGACCAAGCAGTCACCAATGATGCAAGTTGGCAATGTCCAATGTGATGAGCATGGCTAGGGATGTACAATATGATGGGCATGAAATTGCTGTTGCTATCATGTAACTGCAGCCCTTCAGATGTCGCAACCCTTCTTTCCCAACGCATGTCAAATGCTGCCGGGCGCAGCCAACGCAAGACTCGATGTGCACATTCTGCACAGTCTTGCTGTTCCCCATCAGCAATCCAATCTTGCACCACTTGCAGAAACCAAGCCGTCTCACTCAGCGTAGCCGGTTTGTTGGCATGCTTCAGCACAAATTGGATCAGTTCTGCATGGTGCTCTCCCCAAAGATCTGTCAAAGGAACTTGCAGACTCAAAAGCGTCCACAGCAAACTGTGTACCGTGCTATTAGCAAAGCACCAGTTGCGATTGTTGGTCAAACGCAAATGTCCTGCCAACTTCGTGAGCTCCTCCACAAGCTGTGGTGCTAGACTGCATTCTTGCCCGTATTCATCTTCTGCTTCGATTTGCCTTTGCCTTTGCTCTGGCCTTTGCCCTTGTTCTGTCCCGTCAGGTTCTGGAGCATCGTGGCCATGGGGGACTGGGCAAGGGTGTGCTGCTTCATCGTTGCTCCCACCACCATCCATATGGCGTTGTGCGCAAGGTGCGCCAGCAACTCGTAGGCCCGATCGCTCCTGAGGTTGATCTGCAATCTCCACGGCACTGTGCGCTCCTTCTGTGCATCCGGGGCTTTCAGGGCGTGGAATCGGATGATCAAGTCCTTGTCCACCATCATTTCTAGCAGCTCGGTCATGTGCTGCTCCATCTTCTTGGCACTCACCGGCTGCTTCTTGTCCAATACCAGCGTTTGAGTCTGTGGATCCCATCTGTGAAATGGGAAGCTCTTGTCCTTCAGGATCAGCCCCTTGGCCAAAGACGTCTGGTAGAGCTCGTCTGTCTCCTTGCTTTCCACGATCTTGCCCGCCCGTGTGCGCATGACTTCCAGCAGCGCCAGCAACAGATGCTGCCTCAGAGGCCTCATCTGGGATTTGGATGCAGTTTCCATCTGCTGTTTCCACTGCACCGATTCCTGGAGGAGGATGTGAAGAGCTCCTGTTGGATCTGGATTCAAAAAAAGTATGAATTGATCCATTTTTCTCAGGCTGTGCAACTCTTGATCGTGGCGTATGAGTAGCTGCGCCATGGTGGTCAGCATTCTCATCGCCGGTGTGGGTGTTGCGGGCGCTGGTGGGTCTGCCATCTCCAAGTCGAGATCGTTTGGAGCGCCTTTGCGGCGCACTTTGGGCTCCCTGGGATTCTCTGCTAGCTTGAGCGTTTTGTCCTGGAACATCGGTGCCAGAGCGTCGAAGACTTCTCTCATCTGTGCTGATGCTGCCATGTCGGACAGTTCCATGTTGCAAAATCCCTCCGTTGAGAAGAGCCCCAAAGAGTTGTGCGATCTGTATCAAAACAGGGCACGAGCCCCGCAGATGTGAAAGGGCAAGCTGTGCTCGAGCAGCCAAAGATTCATCAGGACGCAAAGCGGCTGGCAAATTGTAAATGAGTTGGCACAAATTGCACTGGAAATCATCTACATTCTGTTGAAAAACTGTGGGCAGCAGCTGTTCCATGTAGAAAAGAAACATTTCATGGCCACATGAGTGCTCCTCCCGGAGATGCAGCGCCAAGTCTGATGTCGCCGGCTGTGCACCACACAGCAAGCAATGCGAGCGCAGCAGTGCCAGAATCTCAGGGTCCTGCCAGACTGAGGTAAAAGCTCGATGCACAAGAGCTTGCTCAAGCCTGTATTGGGGGGCCCGTGGTAGGGTCTCAGCAAAAATGGCCTTCAGCAGGCTGTCCGTGATGACTGTCGGTGCAAAGGGTTCAGTGCCCATGCGGTGAAAAGCCATTGCCAGCTGCCTGAACGGGACACAGATGTGATGACCCCTCTTGGTTCCTGTGGTAGGATTGCAGAAACATTGATATTGATAGTAGGCATCAACCAGAATCAAAGTCAAACGCTGTGATTGCCTCCACAATCTGGAGTGAGCAGATTGAAGGTGCAAGGAGAGATCTGCCGCACGTTGACATCCCTTGCCACAAGCCTGGCAAACCACCGTCAACCTCATGCGCACTGCTGGAACCCGCAACACTTCAAGGAATTTGCCATCCAAACATGCCTGTCTCCAAAGTGCATCCACCGCAAGCGTTTCTGCTGACGCCTGGGGATTAAAGTACTCACATCTGCCTTGCACTATGTGAGATTTGAGTCCACCAACCGTGAGGAACAACTGGCCACAATGTGAGCATGCTGAGGATCCATCGATGGAGTCCCTGCTGGCATTAAAGGATAGCCCTTGTAGCCCATGTTCAGCCTGCAAGTGTTGGACTAGGTCTGCCGCTGACTGGAAGCATTGGAGACACAATTCACACCTCCTACGGACTTCATGAATGGGCTCCGCCTGTGATGCCTCCACTCCAGCGCCATTCACCAACAAGACTGCAATCTGAGACCAGGTGGGGCATGAATGCGTCTTAAAAAGCGCTCCACAACATTGACAAGGGCTCTCATCTGAAAAGATGTTGGTGAGCTGCACTGCTTTCTGAGGCGCATACTCCCATAACTCTGGATGTTGCAAACGAAAATGTTGATGAAGTTCTTGGCATCTCGAAAAGTGAAATGAGCAAATAATGCATCGTGAAGACAAATATTGGCAAATCTCACTGTCTGCAGTCACCTTGGTCCAGTCGCGATCGTGCACCACTTGAAGCAGTCTCTCACCAAATACCTGCGTTTTGAGATTGTGCAACTCTTCCGCAGTGATCATTCTCAATCCTCTGGTGGCTGAGTCGGCCATGTTGGGTTGCATGATGTTCAGGGTGCCTAGTGCAGCTCTAGTAGATGAAGAACTCGTCGTGCAGGACGATGGTCCCGTGAGCAGCACCTGACAGCCGCGCTCAATATGAGCTGAGAACATGCGCCATGTCGAGAATGTGGTGTGGCAGTGCTTACATGTTGGAAGACCATTGGCTGTGAAGTGTGCCTGCTGAACAAACTGCGTGCGATACATCTGAGATCCATGGGCAACCGTGCAGTGTCTGCGAAAAACGCTGACATTCTCTGTGCAAAAATCACACTGAGCACATTGGAAAAATGGGGTGTTGTAGGCATGCTGCGCCTCAAGGTCCCTGGACGTCACCAAGGTTGCAGTGGCCTGCATTTGTTCCAAACGGGACATCAAATCAGGAAGATGATCCCACGTGATCGTGTGAGCCAGGTCATGATCTGAAAACAATGCACTTCTTGTTGCCTGTGTCCTCAGAAGTCCAGCCGCAGTGCCATACAGCAGGTGCAGCGGGGTGGGAAATCTGTGAAGAGCTAGAGCCTGTTGGTTGTTCCTTCTGGTGTAAAAGGCGTGATCATGAAGCAGTTTTCGAAGCATGATAGTGATCTGTGTTTGTGCTTTCTGAATGCCAACTGTTGTCAGGCCTGTAGCAAAAATTCCATAAGTCAAAATGGGATAAACGCAACAGTGCCAAAGTTTGTATCTCTGCTTGATTGTCAGGCAATGTCTTCCTGTGAGCCACCGCTGCAACCGTCGAAATCCAGTGTTCATCAAGCTCAATCGATGTTTCAGGCTGGCATCTTCAAAATTGCTGTAGCTGATCAGCACCCCAAGATATTTGGCTGATTTGCGTATTGGGATTTGCATCTCATCACCATCAGGCAGAAACACTCGCAGTTTTTCTCCATCACGGTCTCGCTGCACCAGTTGTTTGCGCAGAGCATGACTATGGCAGCCCTTCAATTCCAACAGAGCCACTGATTTGCCAGGATTGATTTGCAGCTCCAAAGATCGCAAGGTCCAAAAAATGATACCCAAAGTCTTATGAAAGCAAGCAAAATCATGTGCCGTGGTGAACTTGGCTCCGATATGGAAATCGTCAGCATAAATTGTCAAGTGTGTTTGAATCCAACTAATGGGGACATGGGCCATCAAGTCATGCAGAAAAAGGAGAACAAAAAGGTTAAACAGTCCTGGAGCTGCCTTGCAGCCTTGGCGCACGCCACGGCCAATTGACACCGGACTATCCACCTGATCATGTTGTACAAAGTACACCGTGTTTTCATGCCACTCCATCAGCAATTGAATCAGGGACTGGCTAATGGGCAGATTTTGGAGTCTACTAAAAAGTTTGCCACGATGAACACTGTCAAAAGCACGTTGAAGGTCCAAAAAAAATTTGAAGCCCTCCATACAGCTGATGTCGCGTTGCTCCTGATGCTCTTTGATGCGGGGTGGATCTGTGCAGGCCCAGTAGGTGTCGCACATCAGCACAATGTATGCTGACTCTTCTAATTGCATCCAGGGATGACCGGTGTTCCATGAAACCCCAAATGGGAAAAAGAGTCATATGGTGGTACACCTCCTTCATGACAAGTTGAATCAAAAGCCCTATGACAGCCTTACCTACCGGTTCCTGGAGTGCCAACGGCCTCAAATTTTGGGGGGAAACCGGAGGCTTGGAAGGTTTCGGGATTAAGAAAAGCCAGCCATGTCGCCATGAATCGGGTATCTTGGGGGGATTAGTGGCCCACCAATCAGTCAATTTCGCATGGAGTAATGGAGCCAAAACGGATGCATGCTGGCGCCAAACCATGCCAGGTGAGAATGGCTTTGCCACCGCTTTACTCGGTGGGATCTGACTCAGTGCCCGTTCAAGCTGCTGCACCGTGAATGGCACGCCTGGGGCGCTATCAAAATGCAAATGCAGGCGGGCTGGTCCAGCCCAGGTGCTGGCGACAAACTGGTTCAACATAGCTGCACTTTCCACCGGGCTGGCCATATGTCCATCATCTGTGCGCAACTGAATTTGCTTTCTGGGTTGTTTGGGGGCATATCTATTAATTATCTGGAAAAGTTTATGGGTGTCATGCCTCCGTGCAGCGGCTTCAGCTTGTGCAACAACATCAAAAAACAAATTCTTGCGGGTTTGGAAGGCCAATTTTTTGTGAGCCCTTCGAAGTAAACAGTATTTTGTGGCATGGTACCATCCCTTAAAGATGTTTGGCAACGTTCCCAGTCCTAGCCTCTGCATGCATCTACGATGATCCCACTTGTTGAGCAATGTGGGAAGAGCAGATTGCCAAGCCGCAGGACTGCGCGTGTGCTTGCCAGCTGGAAAATGCTCACAAAACTGGTGTAGCACATCTCGATGCAGGATCTCCATGAAGTCATCAGCAGGAAGGTCAGCACGAGCAAAGTGTGCCGCAATTTGGGTCTGTGTACAGTCAACAAAACTCAGCCAGTCAGAGTCCTGTGCCAAATATGATTGTCTGCTGGCCTGTCTTTGTTGCAGCGTGACCCGTTGAATTTTATGCTGTGAAAAACTGGGGATCCAATGCTTGGCCAGAGTGCACATCATAGGGACATGTCCAAAATCAGTTTGATGAAGGAAAGGAGAGTCCCATAGATATCTCACCTGTCGAGCAGTGCCATCAGCGTACGGTTGTCGCACGCAGAAGTAGTCCAGTCTGCTGGCCTGGCTCCCATGCACAAATGTTGGGCCCAAGGCCGCGCTCCAGCTATTGAGATCAAAATTTGTTGGAAACGTGCTGCATCCGGGTGAATCAGCCCTGTGCAAAGACTCCCACGCCATCTAAAAGATCCAGTTCCAATGTTCTGTCCTGACGCACCCAGAGAGCAGTTGAAATCTCCAAAGAGGATCAATCCATTGCGACTAGGGAGACCTGTCAAAACAGTTTCCAAAAGAGTCCACCATTTGGACCTAGCCTGGCGGCAGGAAGCCGTGGGCTGAAAGGTGTGCTGGTAGCACACCAGCAAGTCCAGGCTGCGTGGCTGTAGATTCAGCCTCACATGTGCCAACCTGCCACTGTCATGTAGCTGCCATTGAATCTGTGAAGCCGCGCATACTCTTGTGGAAATCAGGAGCAAGATGCCTTTTCCACGTGGTTCACCTTCTCCTGAATGAATCATGTGCCAGTGTCCATCGGTCCATTGTGCATCATATGTCCATCTAGTCTCGACAAAAGCAGCTATGTCAATCTGATTCAAGGTAAGCCATGCCTTCACCTCATCCAATTTCGGTGTGGAGAGGCCACTGCAATTCCATTGCCAGACTGAGAGGCGACGCTTACTTGCATGATGTTGGTTGCATCTGTGAAGATCTGTGTTCCATTGACCATGAGTGCCGGGTTGAGCGCGTTGTGAGGGAAGGGCACAGCCCATACGCTCAAAATCAGCAGTGCAAAAAAGCTTGCCTTTGTACCATGCCAGCCCTTGCTGTAAGGAGCGTCGATAGGCCCTCTGCAAACTTCTCTTTACCACCTTGTTCTGTTTCTTCCTTGCAGTGTCAGGCACAAATGATGTGCCGAAGCACGCCTGGGGCTGCAAGCCATGTAGCTTCGTTCCCATGTCAAGATGCCCATGGGATGTGTTCAGAACTTCAGCGGCCATCATGGCCTGGCCGCAACCCTCGCCCCATCCACCCTGCCAAAGAGTCATGTAAGTGAAGATGAGAGACAAGAGCCAAAGGCCCTGTCTCGTGCAGCTCTTGGTAGGGTGGCGTCTGGATTTGGGACCAGACGTGCCCCGTTGAGTGCGGGTGCCCCCGATGGAGCAACTGGTCGTCACTGCTGAAATTGCCTGTTCACTTGCGATCCAAAATGAGCCACCAACTAGACGACGGATGGCCCGAGAGCGTAGACGAGCAAAGTCTTCTGTTGCTAGTATGGAGACACTAAATTACAAGACAATATATTGAAGATGTATTATAGGCAGACGAGAAGAGTAGTTTCAAAACAATATATTACAAGTACAAGACAATAGTTTGCATCGTATCTTTCGTAAAGTTGCAGACAGACGCTTTTACACACAGAACTGTTTACAGACAGACGCTTTTATTATACACACAGAGGCTTTTACACACGGACGCTTTTACACACAGAGCTTTTACACACAGACGCTTTTACACACAGACGCAAATACACACAGAGACTTTTACACACAAACACGTTTACACACAGACGCTTTTACACACAGACACTTTTACACACCAACACTTTTACACACAAATATTTTTACACACAGACGCTTTTACACACAGACGCTTTTACACACAGAGACTTTTACACACAGACGCAAATACACACAGAGACTTTTACACACAAACACGTTTACACACAGACGCTTTTACACACAAACACTTTTACACACAAACACTTTTACACACAGAGACTTTTACACACAGAAGCTTTTACACACAGACGCTTTTACATACAAACCCTTTTCCACACAAACACTTTTAAACACAAACACTTTTACACACAAACACTCTTACACACAGGAGCTTTTACACACAGACGCTTCTACAGACAGAGACTTTTACACACAAACGCTTTTACACACAGACGCTTTTACACAGAGACCCTTTTACATACAGACTATTTTACACACAGACGCTTTTACACACAGACGCTTTTACACACAAACGCTTTTACACACAAACGCTTTTACACACAGAGACTTTTACACGCAGACGCTTTTACACACAGAAGCTTTTACACACAGAGACTTTTACACGCAGACGCTTTTACACACAGCTTTTACACACAGACGCTTTTACATTCAGACGCTTTTACACACAGACGCTTTTACACACAGACGCTTTTACACACAGACGCTTTTACACGCAGACGCTTTTACACACAAACACTTTTACACACAGACGCTTTTACACACAGACGCTTTTACACAGACGCTTTTACACACAGACGCTTTTACACACAGACACTTTTACACTCAGAAGCTTTTACACGCAGAAGCTTTTACACACAAACACTTCTACACACAGACGCTTTACACACAGACCCTTTTACACACAGACGCTTTACACACAGACCCTTTTACATACAGACTCTTTTACACACAGACGCTTTTACACACAGATGCTTTTGCACACAGAGACTTTTACACACAGGCGCTTTTACACACAGACGCTTTTACACACAGACGCTTTCACACACAGCCGCTTTGACACACAGACACTTTTACACACAGACGCTTTTACACACAGACGCTTTTACACACAGACGCTTTTACACACAACACTTTCACACACAGAGGCTTTTACACACAGAAGCTTTTACACACAGAGGCTTTTACACACAGACGCTTTTACACACAGGCGCTTTTACACACCGACGCTTTTACACACAGACGCTTTTACACACAGACGCTTTTAGACACAGACGCTTTTACACACAAACTCTTTTACACACAAACACTTTTACACACAGACGCTTTTACACACAGTCGCTTTTACATACAGACACTTTCACACACAGCCGCTTTGACACACAGACACTTTTACACACAGACGCTTTTACACACAGACGCTTTTACACACAGACGCTTTTACACACAGACGCTTTTACACACAGACGCTTTTTACACACAGAGGCTTTTACACACAGAAGCTTTTACACACAGACGCTTTTACACACAGACCCTTTTACACACAGACGCTTTTACACACAGACGCTTTTACACACAGACGCTTTTTACACACAGACACTTTTACACACACACAGGCGCTTTAACACACAGAAGCTTTTACACACAGACGCTTTTACACACAGACACTTTTACACACAGACGCTTTTACACACAGACGCTTTTACCAAGAGCTCCTTACACAAGAGGCTTACACTCCGAAGCTTTTACACACAGGCGCTTTTACACACAGAAGCGTGTACACACCGAACTTTTTACACACACAAACACTTAACACACAGAGGCTTTTACCACAGAAGTTTTACACACAGGCGCTTTTACACAAACATACGCTTTACAACAAGACGCTTTTACACAACAGAAGCTTTTACCACCCCCCACAGGCGCTTTTACACACAGACGCTTTACACAGCAAACGCTTTTACACACAGAGCTTTTACACACAGCAGCTTTTACACAACAGACTGCCTTACACACAGACGCTTTTACCAACAGACGCTTTTACACCAGAAGCTTTTACACACAGACTCCGTTACAACAAAGACAGCTTTACTTACACAGAAGCTTTTACCACACAGTAAGTGTAAAATCGCAGTTTTGACGTCCAACGTCCATTTCGTGCGTAAGGGTTGCGATTGACAACTCACAGTCGCAATTTTTCTTCAGTTTTTGACGTCCAACGTCCATTTCGTGCGTAAGGGTTGCGCGGGACACTTCAAAGTCGCAATTTTTCCTCAGTTTTTAACGTCCAACGTCCATTTCGTGCGAAAGGGTTGCGCGGGACGCTTCAAAGTCGCAATTTTTCCTCAGTTTTTAACGTCCAACGTCCATTTCGTGCGAAAGGGTTGCGCGCGACCAATAAAAGTTGCAATTTTTCCTCAGTTTTTGACGTCCAACGTCCATTTCGTGCGAAAGGGTTGCGCGCGACCAATAAAAGTTGCAATTTTTCCTCAGTTTTTGGCGTCCAACGTCCATTTCGTGCGAAGGGGTTGCCGGCGACGCTTCAAAATCGCAATTTTACCTAGGTTTTGGACGTCCAACGTCCATTTCGTGCGAAAGGGTTGCGTTTCGTGGCGCTCCGGCGGCACCGCCCCCGCCTTAAGAGAGAATAGAAGAAGAGCGAGAGGAGATCTGCAGATGTGAAGGTGTAAAGATCTAGATCTGCAGGTGTGAGGGTGTGAAGATGTGAAGATCTAGATCTGCAGGTGTGAAGGTGTGAAGATCTAGATCTGCAGGTGTGAGGGTGTGAAGATCTAGATCTGCAGGTGTCAGGATGTGAAGATCTAGATCTGCAGGTGTGAGGGTGTGAAGATCTAGATCTGCAGATGTGAGGGTGTGAAGATCTAGATCTGCAGGTGTGAGGATGTGAAGATCTAGATCTGCAGGTGTGAGGGTGTGAAGATCTAGATCTGCAGATGTGAGGGTGTGAAGATCTAGATCTGCAGATGTGAGGGTGTGAAGATCTAGATTTGCAGGTGTGAAGGTGTGAAGATCTAGATCTGCAGGTGTGAGGGTGTGAAGATCTAGATCTGCAGATGTGAGGGTGTGAAGATCTAGATCTGCAGGTGTGAAGGTGTGAAGATCTAGATCTGCAGATGTGAGGGTGTGAAGATCTAGATCTGCAGATGTGAGGGTGTGAAGATCTAGATCTGCAGATGTGAGGGTGTGAAGATCTAGATATGCAGGTGTGAAGGTGTGAAGATCTAGATCTGCAGGTGTGAAGGTGCGAAGATCTAGATCTGCAGGTGTGAAGGTGTGAAGATGTAGATCAGCAGATGTGAAGGTGTGAAGATGTAGATCGGCAGATGTGAGAGTGTGAAGATCTAGATCTGCAGGTGTGAAGGTGTGAAGATCTAGTATAACGGCTGCTTTTTTACGAAGAACCCTTCGCAGGCGCTCTCGGGAAAAAAAAAAAGCAAATGGGTCCCGTGAATCGCCGACTAAAACCACATGATATTCATTTGAATAGATGTATCGGAACTCATCCTCCGACATGTCTCCAAGATGAGATCGCTTGCACCCCACAACTTCCAACACCCATGCCACTTCCTCATCCTCCGGCGGTCCTCCACGCGGCCATTGCCGAGCGGCCCAGACAAAATTGAACGGCGCAGTGATTCCCGA